TCTGACAGGTGCCTGTTTAAAATCCTGATTGCTGCCAGTAAAAAAAATTATTACCAAGACCCCCCGGACAAAGAGGACTGGCTGAAAACTGTCATGGAGGACTTGACTCACAGAATAAGAATAAAGATGGACTCCTGAGTGGGAAATTGGACAAAGTGGATTATTTACATTGGAGTGACTAATAGAACATATGGGACATTGTTTACCATCTTATCCAAATCCGGACAGTACATAGATTTGTTTATGTTGTGTGTTTGTTTCCGTTTTTTCCTTTCCTTTTTTCTTTTTCACACCTTGTAAATGTTAAAGAAACATGAAGTTAAAAAACAAAACAAAAAAATAAGTGATTTAACCCCCTGAGGAGGACATGGAGGGAGTAACTCCGTGTACACTGGGTAATGTCCTGGCTTCTCTCTGACCTCCAGGGCCGGGCAGAGAGCCACCAGGACAAAGTCCGAGCAAAGGTCGGCGCTGCGCTGGAGGATGAGATAACTGCGGCGGTTTATTAGAGCCGGCTCCAGGCGGAGGAGTGGAAAAAAAAACCCTGGTCGGTGGTGGAAGGAAGAGGGGGGGGAGGACACACCCATATGGCTGGAAACTGAGGGACCCGAGAGCCAGACAGGCTCCGGGGTTCGGGCCAAAAGGGGGGACGGTGGTTCTGTTAAAGGCCCGTGGAATCCTGTAGATCTGTACACCTGTACACCTGTACACCTGTAGATTTGTACACCTGTACACCTGTAGATCTGTACACCTGTAGATTTGTACACCTGTAGATCTGTACACCTGTACACCTGTAGATCTGTACACCTGTAGATCTGTACACCTGTAGATCTGTACACCTGTACACCTGTAGATCTGTACACCTGTAGATCTGTACACCTGTACATCTGTACACCTGTACATCTGTACACCTGTAGATCTGTACACCTGTAGATCTGTACACCTGTAGATCTGTACACCTGTAGATCTGTACACCTGTAGATCTGTACACCTGTAGATCTGTACACCTGTACATCTGTACACCTGTAGATCTGTACACCTGTAGATCTGTACACCTGTACA